ACACTTAGATAATTAAAAAGGCGAGATGGAATTGGATTATATTACGACAACGTATTTGTCTAAAGTATGACATTATGACAACAAAAAGGATTTTTTTGAATAGTTTGAATTAATTTAAAGTACAAACAATAATCAATTCCAACATTATTTCACGGTGTTCTTTATAATTTGGAGAACAGTAAATGTCCATATTATCCTTGCCATTCTTTTATTGTTTTGGCTTTGATGGAACATCGAAGTTGATGTTTCAAGTATTTGAAATATTTGTAAAAAAATAATTTATTTTTGTGAAATTAATATTATATCTTAAAATTGTTCGTTGTGAAGTTGTCTTATAAAAAGATGGATTAAAACAAAAGAACTGTTTAAATTGCCTGCTGAAATTATTGTAAAAATGAAAATTAATATAATTGAATTGAATTATAAAATGAGACACGGTATCGTATCGCCTATATAGAAAGCCTTTGAGAATTAGAAAGGGTTGAGTTGAGTATGTTGATTATTTCTGGTAGCAGGAAGCAAAAATGATTTCCGAGCGTTGGGGAATAGATGCCGGATATAGAAGGTAGTTGCGGAGGGGTGGGATCATCCCCTCGGGGAATCTGCAGTATGTGAAAAGCAGTCGAGCCCTTAAAAGGGCCCACTTAACGTTCACTAATGCCGGCCCTTGTCCCTCCGGACAACCCCGGCTACCCGCAGAAACTTCGCCCGGAGGAAGCCAACACCCATTTCACTCGAGACCCGATTTAATTATGTTCTGAATTATCGTCCCCGGCAAACACTTGCCAAGTTCAATGTTTTCAGGAGGAACGTAAGTCGCCGGCAATATTCATATATGAGTGGGTATGTGTCAGCGTGAAATTTCTACGGCAGGACTCAGCGACTAAAACGGCCCGTATAAAGTTTCAAATCGGACAATTTTAATGTTAAATTGTTGTCTGTTTTCATATTCAACGAGAGCTTTAATTTAAAAAAAGAACGGAGTGAAATATTACACATTTTCCTAATGTTTTGCAAAATTTTGGAGATGAGCATCTACCTTAACGAGATACAAAAATATATTTTAATGAAATATGTAGGGTCCAAAATTTTTTTATAAAATATTTTTTATCGATACGATTATTATCGGCTTTTAATTTTATATTAAGAATCAAATATAAAGCAAACTTGGAAAAAAAATTTTTGCGTCACTGATTACTTAAAAACATAATTTTGAAACCTAAAGATAAAGTTAAAATACTTCATTTCACATGTGAAAACTTAAATATTAAACATATAGGACAAAGTGATCACGAAATGAAACTAGGAGTTATTATATTTTATGGACCGATGCTTGATCTTGTTCATTGCAAACTTAATTCTTATTTTACCTAAGTTCTTCATACTTGTTATCTTTGTAAATAATAGTTATTAATAAAATAACTTTAATAACTAATTGAAGTCTAGAAATCAGAGTTTCCAAATCCTGATGAAAAAGACCTGTTCTTCACAGCTTGAGGAAAGAACTAAATGCTTTATTTTCTTTCAAATTGGCCTCATCCCTGTGTAAAAGTGTCAGATTCGCTAAGAAAAATTTTCAAGATAGATAAAATTAAGTGGTATTTTTTGTTCAGCAAGTCCATGAACACATATATCTTTAGTGAAATGCATATGAGTTAAAATTAAAACTGTTAAAATCATCAGTATCAATTAGGCCAATTTGGAACGAAAAACACTACGTTACTTCGTAGTGGTTAATGAATTATTTACAAAAGATTGTATTATACTTCCAAGGATGTTATGGAATGCAACATTAAAGGTACGAAATACTCCAAAGTATTCTTCTTTTTTTGTGTAACCATATTGCAAATGTGACATATTTTGTAATTTTTTGCCCACCGCGGTCATTAAACAAATATTTTCTATTCATATTTTATGTATTTGATGTAATTATTACCGTAGTTTGGTCAAGGTCACTAATTTATTTTAATTCATTTATCATTATTACTTAATAGGTTGAATAAATTTTATACATTATCAAATGAATCGGAGGTTATAAGCTCTAAAAACACAAAGATTTGTGTTTTAATCTTGTTTTACCCCAATCAAAGATTTATATCGTCGGATTTCAAGAATGTGTGGTAAGGTTGTTGGATTCGCATTGTTGTACTGATTTCCAACAGCCACTGAGGAAAACCGTGAAACTTTTCCTGACAATTTCAAACTATTTGAACAACTGTTAAAGTCTAGAACCAGGTAGTTAGCAAACGTCTTAGAGATAAAGGATAAGCGAGTTTTACCGGAGTTAAGTTTTATGTTACAAGCAATGGCAAGTACCACGACAAACCCACCATCCTCCATCACCATATTTTCTTTTGAACACACAAAGTCACGAGGAAAGGATTTCTATACTTTCGTTGGTGATCTTTCAATTGAGGAATGATGACTAACAATTCAAATGAAGCAAATGAAATCGTTTTCAATGCTAATCAAGACGGGGTAAATTATTAATGTTATTATTGTTTGATAAATACCGTGTAGAAATGGTACAAAAAAAGCTGCGAATTGATTACATATATATGACATTTTTGATAAATTCTAAAGGATGCCATGTATACTCACGTCAGAAATGTCCATCGTTCCTTCTACCGTACGAGACAACGTTTATTTCTGCTTGAAAATCGTATAGAGACATTCGGCCTTTGTCGATGGTTTCTTATCTTTTTTATTTATCCGTTTTAGCACATTCCTCTGTGTCGGTATAATTTAAAATGAAATGTTTAACATTTATTGTTGTTTGTCCATGACAACTTTTAAACAACCTCCTTTATGGAAATTTGATATAATTTTTTGATATTTTATGTATCGATGTTCATAAATTTCCTTAATTAGCAACATTATTTTTTAAAATCAAATTAAACTTTTGTGTCCTTATGTTTAACCAAAGAGAAAATCTAAATGAAAATTCATTTTTGCCGTTAAAACACTGGTGAATTTGTTTTTGCGTCTGTTTTTAATTTTAATTTTAATTCTAAAAGTCCCTGATATACATAGGTTCAAATATTAATTTTCCTACGATATATAATTTTTTCTGTGAGGTTGGGATGATCATCACAAAGGAGTGAGATAGGACTATAATTTTTAGGTAAGAGTTGTTCTTTGCTTATAGCTATTTTAGAGAAATTCTGACATTAATGTAGAGCTTATCAAGGAAAGCTGGGGGAAAGGAAAGCGTTATTTAGGAGCATTTTAGGAATACGTGAGAGGGCATGATTATACTGATTTTTTTATCAGTTTACGGAATTTTATGATCAACTTTATTTCTTTTTCTGAGGTTAGGTCAGACTCAATGTATTTTTTCTGGGAGGTTTCATGAAAGTTATCCCTCTTTTTGTGAAAGAAATGACTCCAAGTTTTTCAATCTGTAATTGCGCCTTTCCAAACTTACTAGCCAAGGTGTTCATTTTTTCAGTAAGGCTGATGACGAATTTAATAGTTTTATGATCAGGCAGTGTAAAAATCGTTATTTTACTTACCTGTCACCAAAAATTTCAAATTTAATTAATACTGAAATATAATTATTATTATGTATGTTTGGCGAGTAACCAATTTTTTAATTACACTTCTGGCTATTTTTTATTTTATTTGTTCAGTTCTGCTCATTCATTGTTTGCATAAAAATTAGAAGTTACTATTAATAATTATTCAGAAATCGTGAGATGCGGTCTGGTGTGAGGTTTCAGAAAAACATTTTCTTTATCGGGCCAACGTTTCGATCTTTATTGAGATCATCTTCAGGGCTCAAAGTGTTTTTTTCTGTGTAATTGTGCCATTCTTGCGTGTCGTGTTGAGAGTGCTCCTCTACGATTTCTGAATAATTATCGATAACTCATATAACTATTAATAATAAACGGATAACTAATTAAATAATTCATTGTTTAATAAACACATTTTACCCAATTAGTTATAAGTTATAAGGATAATTGATCTGTAATTGAATATCTGACCAAAATTCTCCACTTTGGCCTAGCTTATTTTTAACATTTAGACTACATTTATAATGAAATTTGTATTCTTAGTCTTCATTTTAATTTTACAGCTTCTTACATAAAAATAAATTAGTTTTGGACACAATATAAATGAAGGAAAATAAATGAAATATGGTCGTATTCTTTCTTCCCATCAATCTCCAACGAGCAAAAACACATTTCCACAATATGGAAGTTAAACGGCGTTGAATTTTATGAATAAAATGTTCAGAAAAAACAGGCCAAATCTCATGCGGCGATGTTGATACAGTAAACGTATTTTAACGCCTCACTTAGCGATCTATGTTTAATTCTAGGACCTATCCGGCTGTGATATCGGTTTTTATGCCAGTTCATCACATTTGGTATTAAACGTTTCGGCTCAGCGCGCATTCACGACGATACTTTTTTTTATCCAATTCCATTTAATTCTTTTCCACTATGCGAAATTAGTTTTTCTCCGTCGTCGGATCAGGACGGACATGCAGGAAAAAAGCTATTTGCCTAATGCAGTAAAATAGAACCTGATATTTTTTATCCTTTTTACATGCTGTCCTAGTTAATAATTTGATTCTATCGCTGGGATTTAATTGGAAAAAGTACTCGGCTCAATTGTCTGCCTGATTTGTATAATATGGTGTTGTGCCCTACACAATACCAAACAGAAAAAGCTCTTACTAACAAGATAAGATCATCAAGTAATCAAGACATGTTTCGAGGATATATCATTAAGTTTTATCGTTGCTTTGATCGGCCCTTTTCCGATTTCCATTATAGATAAACGTAAAGGAAACATTTTTTCCACTAATTATATACTAATGCTTTTTCTATTCTGGGACTTTCCACCATGAATGAATTCTTACAAGCAGGTTTTATAAAACGTTAAAGAAAGAAAAGAATAAAAGTTTTAATTAATACAAAGTCGGTCAATTAAACACAATAAAAATATTATGTACGGTCTTAAAATAATATAACATTTGGTTCCAATTTCAGTACTTGTGTGTTATGAGCCAAAAACTATTCTTAATGGCTATGGAACAAACGAATTTATCTATCATGGAACAAAATCAACATGTCGGACCCAGGTATGTACAAAATACAAATTCTATTTTTAGAACTATTGGAACATTCACAACCCAAACTGAAAGCATATGTTTTTCAATTTTCCTTTATATTAAGCATTTTCATGAAGATAATCCCAGTTATGAATGTTTAAATATTGATTGAGAAACTGTAAGTTGTAAAAATATGTTGTTTGTTGATTGTCATTTACAAATCTGAATAACTAAAAAAATTATCCGTTTTAGAGAGCTGAAGAAGGTAAAATAATACACCGAAAGCTTGGCATACCTTCGATACATAACATTGGATTGTGAATACTAACTCGTCGTTCATCTTTACACCACCATTAACTCAAGATCGTCGACATTTTAAACAACATTTCAACGTAACATTTCAAATAAGAAAAAAAACTAGAGGCGAAAAAATAAAGAGATATCATTTATCCTCGTTTGCAAGTTTGGCTGATGGAAATAAACATGAGATTTTATTTTTGCTTATTTGTTTAATTTGGTAGTTTGTTAAAATTTCTATAACGATTAATATATTTGTCCTTTATAAGCTGCTTTCAAAATGAAGGCGCTCGTCTTTGGGAAGTAGAGATTTGGGCTTCTTCTTGGATGAGCTGAGAAATGGAGCGAACGTTCGCCTAACTTTTCTCACGACATTTCCTTATATGAAAGGAGGTGAGTCCTTGGGTGAACCTTTTACAGCGGTCTGTTTCAATTTGTTTATTTTTTATTAATATAGACGGATTTGTAATTTCTTCCATCTTCTTCACAAACAATGGAAATTTTGCCATGATGAATATACAATCTATCTTAAAAAAATACTTATTAACCATTCAATTCGAACAATTTTTTTAAAAACTGTGTTAAGTTTTAGTTGTTTTTCATAAACAAATTGTCGTTCTTTTCGATGTAAAGTTAAAGTTCAAAATAGATAGTGATTAATTAGTAACAAAAGTAAATATAACTAACGAGAGGCTTCTATTCCTCGACGAATTGCTTGAAAACCCCAAGGTTATCGACACTCTCAGTTAAAATTTGAAGAAATACTAAGATGTGCGAGAAAAAGGGCGACCCGTATCGGGTTAAAAATTGAAAAATGATCTTGTCAAACTAGTTCAATGATTAAGTATGTTGATATCGTACAAGTGATATCACAAGACAAAAACAAATTTTGTTTTATTTTCAAGCCCGCTGCAAATTAAAAATCAATATGATTTAATGTTCCATTGTTTTCAATTTTATGAATTATCAATACATCCTTAATTATTGTTAAAATTTCGTCATCACATTTTGGTTTTAACATTATGGAATAAAACAATCCTAGGGTGTAATAAATATTTTATTGGCTTGTTTTGATGTAATTCATCAAATCTTTTCTTCTCGGTAATTTTCGAACGGCCGTTTTCCCACGTGTTTTTCCTCCCTTTCATATCTTATCCAAACAGTGAAACAAAAACTAAACATAAAAAAATAATACAACCCATTAGCACGGCTGAACAAAGGCTTCATGTGAGCGGAAGAATTGCGCAAGAAGCAAAGTTAGAGGATTTGTACAAAAGCCTGTGGGAACTTTTATAAAACCTTTAAGCTTTTGAAAGACTTTTTTTAGGCAGAGGCAGCTGAACCCACAAAGTTTTTCGCACACAACAATTCAAACCTAGGATAATAATTCTATAAAAAGCTTCACCTTGTATCAGAGCAATCTTCATCATTTATCTACGATTTGTTAGACGAGTAATTTTTCAACAATACCATTCAAGCTAGTATAAGAAAATTGATTTTTCTTTGCGATTTTAATCAATCTCAATTAGTACTGAATAATAAAGATAGATTAATTTGTAAAAGTAATGAAAATGTTAAAAATTAGACTAAAGTTCGATGTAGAAAAACAATGCTTGAAATGAAAAAGCTAGTTTCACGAGCGGGATTTGAACCCACGACCTTCGGCTAAAAACGCAGCTGCTCTAACCACTCGAGGCACTCGGGCACGAATTCCCCATCTCAATCAACAACCTTTCGAATTTTCCTTTTCATGTCAACCAAAACTTACATAAAAAGATTAATTAATCGAAAGAAATAATTTGGTCTATCAGACCACTAAATATTATTTAATAAGTAATTTATTTAACATTTATTAAATAAGAAATTTGAATTTATTTAATTAGATTTCATAAGTAAAACGAAGTATAATTTGCTAACAGCTGCCAGTGGCCACGTCATGTGTCAGCGAGAATCCTGATTGCACGACATTTTAAAATGCCAAAAAGGAGGGAAAATTCTTAGAAGTAATTTGGCCAATCAGACCACTAAATATAATAGATAAAAATATCATTTAAACGGAAAATTTTTACTTGAATATAATCTTTGCACAAGAATCCGTATTTCATATTAATTTTTGTTTCATTAATAACTAATACTTTGGTAGCAATAATTTCACCGCAGTAGAAAAATGCTGTATTTAAATATTCCTCAATATGTGTGTGTGTTTAGTGACCTAAGTTAATGATTATTTAGAGATCTGTCAACGATCTTTATTGAAATCATCTTCAAGGATCAGTTTTGTCTTTTGTGCGCTATGAACATGACACACAAGTATGACACATCTACACGGAAAACAAACACTGAGCCCTGAAGATGATCTCAATAAAGATCGAAACGTGCCACTATAAAGATAATTTTTTTCTAAACCCACGTCACACCAGACCGCATCTCACGATCTCCAAATAATCATTCCTCAAAATGATATAGTATTATAAATAACAATATTTCTGCAACAGTTTACGTTTATTATATTTTTAGGTTATTTAATGAAAAAATCCAAAACCAAATTTCAACCTTTATGAATAAAGGTAGTACAAAACTTGCAATTTTCCCTTCCTACATAAAAAAGACATATGCCAAATAACTATAAAAGCTTTTGTAAATTTTCAATTTGTAAATATATGCTTTTTATATAAAAGCTATATTACTATAAGTTGATAATATTCTTCTTGTTATTTTTTGATATATTTGTTATTATTATTTATTTTAAACAGCTGTACATCTAAATAATCTTTATTCTTATTATTCAAATAAGAATTTAAAAATTATTGTTTTCAGGAGGTGCAGCTTGTAATAAAGTATTCAGGTTTCATTACAGGTAAACTTGTAACGCAAACGGGACAGCAAGTTGTTTATATTCGCCTTCAATAAGCATTCCCCCTTCATTAATGCTTCGGCCGTCGGCACTCTAAATCAACCTTGCCCTGGTTTAAATTAAAATTCGTGAAACCCAGAGAATACGTGGAAAATTTTTAAGTATTCAGTATTCATGCATTTAATATGACACGTGGTCCAAGTCAATAAAGCTTTATTAAAAAAGTTCATTTGTAGCATGTTAATTAAGTATGTTTAGAAAATGTTTAGTAAGTCAGTGTTAAAATGCAGTTATTAGTTTCTTACAAAATTGTATTTCATAGTTTATATATACCGAAAACCTTAATAATATATTAGAAATTTTCTAGAAGCAAAACGTTAGTTGTCAGGATTTCTGTCTCGTTAGTAGGTCGGATCCTGTCAAAACCGTTGGCGTTTTAAGTGTGCCTATTTTGGAACAAAAATTTGTAAAATTGCTTGACTCTTCGTCCACGATACCCAACGAGAATTGCTATACTGGACTAAGATAAACAATCGTCAAAAATCATCTTGAGGATACCCTAAAATATCAGGTTGATCGCAGGGTCGCCGCATTTTCATTCATCTGTGAGGTTCATAAGAATACGAATGGTAGATGTAACAATGTGCCATGTGAGGAAATAATTAGACACAAAATTTAATGTATAATAATGTTTTATGTGAGCGTAAAATCGTAAAAGTGTGTAATCTTTACATCCGGTCACACTATTACCGGGGTATCACCTGACCCCCGTTTTTATCCTTCTTTACCAAATGGGAGTTACTAGGGTAACGCTGTGATTGGACCAAAGGATTCCTACCGGGAGGTTTTTCAGGTAATCCACAATAGGATTTTCCATACCCTTGAAAAATGATAGCCAGAAGGGTTGGTATGATTTTCATTTTTAAAAAATTCCTATAAGAAGAAATTCATGTAAGCAATTTAGCATTCACAAACCGTACTTATTTTTCATTACAAAAATTGTTGATTTTTATACAAAGTGGATTTCAGTTGATCAAATATTCTTAATAATTAATGAAAGGGGATGCTGTACGGAAATTATGGATGTTCAGCTCGTACATCTCAAGTTACCCGGCAGCCAATTATTTAGAGATTAATCATATCTTCAGGGTAATAAATTTGAACAAAGAAAGATGGATTCACTTAATTTGACTTTGCTTTCGTTTTTATGACATTGTCTCCAACCAGCCGGCCAAGATAATGGGATTTATCGTTTTCCGAGAATAATTTATTTAAGTTTTAAGCAAGGCTTTAAGAGAAAAATTACGGCAATAATTTTCTAATTGAAAGATAATAATTAAATTTGCCCCTTTATAATTGGTAAACAATGATTATACTTAATAGGACCTCGAATCACTTAAACATAGTCAGAGGTTTCTAGAATGTACTACATTTACTTTCAACTCCGCTCTTTGCATATTTTAAGCTACTTATAAATTTTATACATATTTCTTACTACTTATATAAAACTTGTTATGTTAACTATTACGAAGTTTGCACAACTTAGGAATTCTCCCGTAATCTACTTAATAATAAAGAATAAAATAAACCAAATTTGAAATTTGTAAACAATTGCTATCAGTAATTCATTTAATTCGTCCGAAGTTAGGTACTTTATATTTTTTATTATTTTTTTATGCGGATTAAAATTGTGAATGATTTTTTGCGAGGGCAGTTTCTCGTTCAACGTTCATAGCTAAGCACGACCAATATTAAAGTAACTGTCAACGGCAAATCTATTTTGGACATTTAGGGACGGGAAGAATTTGTAGAAATGATGAATGATGGAGTGAGTGCGGTGTTCTATCATTTTTAAAAAAAAGATAGTTCCTACTCACAGTAAGTTGTTTTCCCAAGGATCCGGATTTCGAGCCCTTAGCTCATCATCAGGTTGAAGGATTTCTAGACGTCTCTCGACATGAACTGTAAAAGTGAAACCGCCGATACCTCCGCCAACGCGACGTTCCAATGAGAAGCTGGTTTTTTAATGGCGCTCAATTAGATGTCTCAAATTGGCGAACAACGGAAACCTAATGATTCATTTATGGTGGGGTGGCTGAGTCCTGTAAGTTGTTTGCCATACATTGGTGAATTATCGGAAAAAGTACGGGTTCACTTGAAAACAACCTCTCACAACCTAAAGACAAGGTACACAACTTGGCAAAAACCGGGGTTTACCAACTTAATTTTAATGATTGTGATATTAAATATATAGGACAAAGCAGAAGAGAAATAAAACCAGAGTAAAAGAACCTTTGCCTAAATCGAACAAATTTTCGGAATTTAAGGACCATCTAAAAGAAACAAAACATAATTTCAATTCAAATTTAACTACAACAGTGTTACATAGTTTCAACAAAGGGAGAGAACTAGATTGGCTTGAGAAATTTGAAATTAAAAAATGTAAAATTGAACATGGAGATAAATGCATTAATAGTATAATAGATTTTGATCTACCTCGCATTTTAAATATCTACATAAATAATAGTGAACGTTCAAGTAATTAAATTAATTATTTTAATTGTTATTATTTTTATAATAATTTAATAATATTAAGGTATTATTCTAATTTTTTATCTTTTATCTTTAATCACTAATTTACAATTAATTCGTTGTAGAAATCCTTCAACCTGACGATGAGTTAAGGGCTCGAAATTCGGGTGGTTGGAAAACACCTTACTGTGAGTAGGAACTTTTTTTTTAAAAATGAGGGAAGATTTTATGTAAAGGGTTAGTGTCCAAATGGCCAGATTGTTTCCGAGGGGAAACAATATTGCATTCCTCGTCATTCCAGATCTGATTGAAAATGAATAAATGAAAATGAAACAATATGGCCTTTCTGAAAGATTAATAACTCGAACAAAATTGCGTCATGACCATAAAGTCATTTATGAACAAATGTATGCAAAAATGAATGCAGGACTATCAACAGTTTTTCATACCATTAGAATGGACCGTAACTGGATAAATGAGTAGCTCTGAAAAAACTTTCTTGTTTGACGGACCTGGTGGTATGTTTCTGCAGATATTTTATTAAATTTAGTTGAAGAAACCACACTGAGCTGGTAAACGTAAAATGACGGAGGTGCGAAAGAAACAAACGTTTTCATCTTATGAAGCTTCTATGATTTCCCAAACCGTATTAGCTACTATAGTTAGGACAATTATAGATGATTTTAATGACGATCGTGCATTTGCTGGGAATATTTATGTACTGGGTGGTGACTTTCAACAGGTCTTACCATAGTAAAAAAAGGAGGCAGGAGAAAAATTTAAGAAGTACGCTTAAAACAACGTTTATTATGGAATAGCTTTTAGCAATTCCAATTGTCCAAGAATATGAGTGCGGTTAAAGATTTAATTGAGTTTTCAAATTGGTTATTAGATATCGGAAATAATATAATGAAAAACTTGAAATTTCCCAACAAGTGTTATGCGATAATTTAATTGAAGGGTTTTATCTATACGATTTATCTGAACAAGAAATAAATACAGGAGCAATATTAGCAGGTAGAAATTATGACGTGAAATAAATCACTCATCTTATTGTGAAACAACTACCAGAGGAAATTGTTAAGTGCGTTTCCATAGATCATGCTGAGTCATTAGCTGGTGACAAAGCCGACAATTTCAACGTGAACGTCCCATTGAATATTTACAACCAATGACACCTCCTGGTCGGCCTCCTGCAGAACTGCACGCTCGTTGTGCAGTTATGACATTGAGAAATTTATGCACACGGACCCAATTAATGGGAAAAAATTGTTAGGACTATACTACACTGAAAAATATTAAATGGGAATAAAAAGGATATTGTACACATCTCTCGAATTTATTTAGACAGACGAGGATATACCGAAATATCCTTTGTTTTGAAGCAGTTTCAATGCCCAGAGTAGCATTTGGTACGACCATAAATAAGTCGCAAGGACAAAGTTTTGTGACAATAGGCTAGATTATAAATTCAAAAGTCATAATATTTACACATGAATAATTAAATGTTGCTCTGTCGAGGTGTACGTCAAACATGGACATTATAATAAAATGCAAATTAAAACAAAAATGCCTAGAAAATATTGTTTTCGATGAAGCGTTGGTGTAGCGTACAAGTTATTTTTTCTAGCATGCATGCCAAAAGAAGTTTTTGAGCTTATTTATTTAGAATTGCTCTTTTTTTACTTATTGAACAAACATATGATAATATAAAAGTAGAAGGGCTCCCCGCGAATTATAATGAAAATTAGGGGCTCCACCTCCTCCTTCGCTCACAACTGTAGCCTGGTAGCTTTTTTTGCGAGGGGATGACGAACGAAGCGAACATGGGGTGGAGCTCCGAGTTTTCATTATAATTTTATTATAGAAAAAACTATTATAGTAATATTTGTAACAATCCAAATAATTATCCTTTCTTGAAATTTTAAGTATTTAGTTCTCCTTCTTTCTCTGACGCTTAATTTGATTTTCATCCCACTTTTAATTTATTTTTTATATTTTGCTTATTACCCACACAAAAATCCGACACTCTTTGCCTAGGAAATAAAGTGAAGAACGAAATGAAAGGAGGTCATGGGAGGAAATGGCCCTATTTCCTTTTAATAACCCAGCCATTTTTACTTGGTAGCTGCATTTCCGAATACGATTCGAAAGTAGTGGACGTTTTATTATCTAAATCGTAGTAGAAATTAGAAGAAATGTATAATTTTCATTAAAAACACAGCGTTAAAGATTAGTGATTAGTATAAAAAAGTAGACATTCACTAGCATATACACACGATTCTTGAAAAGAAAGGTCAAATAGTTTGCTAATCTGCAATTTTTGAGGTATTTTCGTTATAATCAACATCTTTACAAAATAACTACTTCTGTCAATGAAAGCTCTGAAATAAGCATGGTTAGAAAACATGAACACGCTGTCGTATTATTTATTTGTTTATGTTTTTTTGGTAGGAATAATTTCTTTCTCAAGTTCAACTTCATGCTTATATTTCTTTATTACAATTGATACAAGTCCAACAAAGATTAGAATTTTCTGTTGTTGAATCGCTGTCATATTAAGTCACTATTAAATATATTGACCATAGCTATTTTGCATAGTATAAACTCCCTTTCAGAAATTAAGGAAAACAACAACAAACCAGGCCATACAGAGTATTTCTAATATTTGTAAAGCGTTCGAATTCCACGTGGTCCCTTCCATTTCTCAGGCGAAAAAATTCATTTTAATCATGTTACCACATTGTCAGATTGCATCTGAAACGACAGTATTATTTTTTTCAATAATTCACTTCATCTTAAGTGAAATGTACTCTTCATTTCAAGCATATTGTACTTTGGTCTCTTCCAAACCTTTTATTTGCATGAATTGCAATAACAGACCACAACATTGTTTATCGGAAATATCAGAGGGAAATATTAAAGCAATTAAATAGCTATATTCTGTAGGTTGATGAACCTCCTGTTAGGTTTTTCTAAAAAGGACCTAGATGGCAAAATAGCACATCGTCCACGAAACGATGTGTTTTTAGTATGAATTTTCTTTTTCACACAACACAAGTTCTTTCCATTGTAAAATCAATGATATTAGAAATTAATAAAGTTCCAGAACAAATTGATTAATTTTTGAGTTTGTGGTATACTTTCAAAATGTATGAAAAAACAGAGCAAACTAGTTGAAAAAAGTTGATCACCAGGTCGGCTTAACGTGCCAATTTATTGACATTCTAATAGGAAGAGCAGATTGTACGTAAAAATTATCTTTGGAATCATACTTAGTTTTACAATAAATAATGCGTGAAAAAATAAAAGGTCATACCTTTACATGCAAAGATGAAATATCAAGGTTTTCTACTATAAAAGTTTTGAAAACGTCCTTCTAATTGCCTACAACGTTAAGAAAAACAAGTAAGAACATTTCTTATCCGAATTTTAAGCGAAACATATTTAGCAGACAAGAGTGGTGATTTTCGTATCATTCGTATTATATTTTTAACATATTTTTATATTATTCGCGTTAAATATTGTTATAAGTCAATTAAACTTTATAAACTAAGTATTTGTATAATAATTATTAATATTTTATTATCTTCAATAATAAATTTGGAAATAATTTGTTGTTTGATATTTGGTACAGCAGTACGAGATATATACGTGTGGTTGTTTAGTGAACGATCGTTGTATGTATGTATATATATATATATCCGGAATTCATCTGTTGGGCTAAGATCCCACTCATCCTCGGAGACCTCTTCAAAGTCGGACATAATAACAAACACGACTAGTTAACAATTATAATTTTATTTAGTAAAAAATCAAGGCACGGATGCACTCCCCACTAGCACGCTTAAAATGTTACTGTAACATACTGGAGGTTCTTATTGCTTCTGCCCCCCAAAAATTATGGAGCGCACTCCATGGTCTTTCTAAAAACTGTACCTCCGCGGTTAATTTAGATTCTCTAACCAGTGGGGAGCGTCCAAGACGACACAATGTGTTTGCCTTTCAGGAATTAATAACTTTATAATAATAATAAATAATAATTAACCAACTTTACAAAAATGTGATAAGTAGACAACATAAACATTATAAACATTAATCATTGGGTTTCTTCTCTATCACCGACATATAAATGGTGTTTTTTCAGTGCCTATTTGTCATGAATTCTCAGGCAGGTGTCTAAAGTATNAATGAGTAATCCTGTAAACGTAAACAGAATATTTTATATAGATTTTTTTTAATGAAAACTTAAAATCCTGCATTATTTTCCGGACAACCCAATATATACTACGTTAATATCCTGACATAATGCTTGCCTCTCATTTGTACCTCAGGTTGTTAAATACAGAATAAAAACAAAACATACAGTACATATACATCACCACAAACATAGATGTCTGGTCTCATTCATTCCCCCAGAGTACTCGATATTCCTCGAGGCGGGCTTATAAGCAACCCCTTCCTTTCACGCTAATAAATTACTTGTACTCTCGAGACGTCATACACTCACCCCAGAGGTACTTGATATTCCACGTGGCGGGGTTATAAGCAACCCCTTTTATTCACACTAATAAATTACATTCATGATAATAAATTAACACAAACACAACACACGATCGTTGTATTTTTTTTAAATGAGTAAAAATCAATAAAACCATCTTGTTTTATTTTAAATTCAAATGTGCCATTTATACAACAAACAAAACGAATTAGTACTTACCATTTATTCACCATGAAAAATTTGCCCCTAATTTTTTCCACATTAATCTGAAACAGACGGACAAATAATATATTCAATAACATGGAACATTAAATGAATTGAACATAATTCAAATGTAATTGTTTTATAATTATTAAAATTGCTTAAAAGCCAATGTATTCGGACTTTCATCCCGAAGATTTGCCGGTGCGTCGACCTTCGGGTTTATAAATCAGGGAGTTCACCCACCCGGTTATCTGGCAAGGCCGATAATATTCCCCTTAAGCCAGATGCCCAAGAAATGGTCGCTTTCCGACTAACTTTTTTTTGTCTTTTTTTATCTGAGTGCAATCCTCAAACTTTGTAGGCGGTCACTTCGGTTACTTCTCCGACCTGCTCACAACCTGCGAGGCCTTAGAACGGCCCGTAACGATGTGTAGACGATAACCATCCAGTCCCAAATGGCAGTACTAGGCACCACAGGATTATACATGAGGTGATAGGAAAGCCTTCCCGGAGCTATTCCGTACTACTTGCCGTAACTTAAGCTATTCCGTACTTGGGAGTGCCGTAACCCAATTTTCTTCCGGTACCCTCCCATGCAATGAGCAGGGTTCACGGACACCCAGAACATCGAAAAATCTTTCGCTTCTGATCAGGATTTTATGTTGTATCTTATTATGTGCACGGTACTTTGCGTTTGTTATTTTCGGGTTCCGAGACCCTTGGTCGTGGGCATGGACCTATGCACTGGTGGTGGCGCGCCGACTGGATATCCTCATCCTGCAGCCACTAGTGTGAGGTGTGTCAGAGTTGAGTATTCCAGTACGTAAGGTTTCTCATCAAGAACCGCCCTAGGGCCGGTAGCCGTACATTGTGTTTAGTGTTAATATGCTTGTGTAAGTGTATGAGTGGGTGTTATGTATGTGGACGCAATTTACCCTCGTGCTCGGGAGCAAAAATAAGTAGTATAACTACATTAATTTATTCATTTTTAGGTTTTTAATGTTAATTTTTTTGTTTTATGCAACAATTTAAATATTATTTAAATTATATTAGATCATTGCTGAGTGTGAGGAAAAGATGGTTGATTTATATTGAAAACCGACAAGCTGTTTCTTCCAGAATTGTCCTTTTTATAAGTCAATCCCATTTTCGTCGACGTTATTCAATATTTTAAAAGTGGCTTGCCCGTCCTTTTTAAAAGCACCATCATCGTGAACGCTCTTTTCTCCAACGACGGGTTGAAATATTTATCATTCTGTGCGTGTGACCGAGATGAAACAACGGGAGTAAGCGAGATCCTTCCTGACAAGTCTTATTAATTAACACGGAGATATTAGAGCTCACTTTACTACTAAACCAACATTTATGTTACGAAAAGGGCTTACGGCATTATTTGACTATTTTCAAAACACAACTTTACCTTATGTCAGGTTTACAAAGCCCCTTGGGTCTCGTTACATCAAACAAGTAAATTCAAAATCACAATGCCTATTCATCAAAGCAATTCAGCTTAGAAATTAATTATTTTGTATTAAATTCTTTCTCTAAGTCGTTTCAATATAGTTTATAACTAACTTTAAGTAAATATAACATTATTAAAATATAAGTTGAATTTGCAAGAAATAGATCTAAAACATTAAACAACATTACTACTAGATTTTTGTTAAATTCCAAAATTCTAAAAAACCTTCCCAAACAAATTCTTGTTAGTAAATTATTTATATAATCTTTTCCCAATATTCACACAATGACGGAAGCGCATATGACGACAATATACTGAAAGTGGCCGAATTTTTAGCATCTAGATTCATTGGTTCGTTAAACCTGTTTTATATTAACGAATTTCTCTTGAACCAATGACGCTATTAAAAAAAAAAACAATTATTACGTGTTTAAGATTTTTTATTCTGGTTTTAAATTATGACCTATTTTAGAAGAAAAATTATTTAGGGTACCTCAGGCCCAGTTCAGCTTCAAAATTTCAAATACGACCCTGTACATTCTGGCACATCATTTGAAACGAATTTTGACGCTGAAAACAATGGTACAATCCAATTTCATATTAGTCAAAAAATAACAATGTTATGGCAAAAGTTTGAAAAAACGTATTTCGTTTCTTTCATTGTTAATTCCAATAACTTACTTCTTCACTGAAATAATTTAATAAAATAATAATAATAAATAATTCCTGGAAGTAAATAAATTTTACAATAGTTCCTATTCGTTGCATTCAGTATTCCATTCAAAATGAACCGAAGAGCATATTTTTCCGATCAACAGCGAGTTGATATGCCCGACTGCTTTATTGTTAGTGGTGGTATTGCGCGTCGTGAAGTTGAGTTGTACTCCAAGAAGTTTCCTGATCGCCCCAGAATTAACCACGAAACGTTTATTCGTGTTGCTCACAATATGAGCAGATATGGATCAGTTGCTCTTCCATCATCAAGAAACCGGCAGCATAATTTCGACGAGGCGCTGGATATTGTTATGGATGTTCGCGATAATCCGAATTTCTCTATCCAAAATGTTGGAAGGGATTTAGTTTTATCAAAAAATAAAATTAGATATGTAATCCGGACTTACAATTTTAAGCCGTATCGCTCTCATCTTGTCCAGGGATTTCGGGACTCTGATTAGGACAGTCTAACATTCCTTGCACAAATGTCGATTTGGGTGGTTGAAGAAAACCATCTTCCATACATTCTATGGATTGATGAAGCCAAGATCATCTCTAATGGCGTTGGAATTTTCAAACGTGGGCAGAGAAAAATCTGAGAATTTTGTAGTCTTGTCGTCATCAGCTCGTTCACAGTATAAACGTTTGCTGTATACGTCACGGAAATAAATTCATTGGGACTTATTTCTACGAAAATAATTTAAATCATGCTCAACTCCTCAATTTTATGAGGGAGGTTTTACCAACACTATTAAATGATGTTCCTCTACAACAACAACAACAACGAATGATTCTCCAGTTTGATGGATACCCCGCACTTAATCCTTGCAGGTGGGCAGGACCTCATGGCCCGATCTGATGGCCTCCTCGGTCACCTGATTTAACTCTACTTGACTATTTTATGTGGGGCCTTTAAAAAAACAATGTCTACGCCCATCATAACCCAGCAACCTCAATTGAAGAACTGCTTGAAAGGATAGAAAACGTTTGTCAATCCATCCCTCTTGACTCTATAGCTCTCAACACCGGTGAAGATTGGTCAAAAACAGCAAATCTTTTCATCTTTCCGCAAGGCAGGCAGTTCAAACATCCTTTTGCCATAAGTTTGTCATATTTTGAACAATTTAAAATTCGTTTGTCGATTGTTTTCAGCGTAAAAAATATATTAAAATTATGTGACAGGATAGGATCGTATTTGAAATTTTGAAGTTGAACTGGGCCTGAGATACGGGGCCATCTAAAAAGGACACCAAGTATAGTCATGTTTTACCTTATAACTCACTCCTGAAACTTAAACTCCTTAAACATTGTGACAGTTTAGCTGTAGCCGATGATGTAGCCTCACGTTACAAGACAAAGGCTAAATAGAATTTTAATCATTCGCTCAAGAGGTACTTCACGCTAAATGGTGAATTGAATGAAAATTAAAGTTAATAAATCTAAGACTGAAGTACTTCTGATCATGAAGAAGAGAAATTAGAAGTCGCATCTATCTTCTTAGCTGGTGAACAGCTAAAAAATGTTAATGTGCTCAGATATCTCAAAGTAATATTGTAAGTTTAATTGGAAAGATTATGTAGTATACTTTACGGAAAGAACAATAAAATCCATCTATATTTTGCACAGATATAGGAAGGTTGACTGGGGACTCGGACAAACATGGTTGAAAGCAATTTACACGGGTGCAAGTATCCTAATGATGTCATGCACAGCGCCGATATGGGAAGAAGGAATTGAAATTAAATTTTTTTTTCAAATTAATCGTGCCGAATGATTGGTGGCACTTCCTGTCATCGGAGGTTTTAAACCATCTCATTTGAAGCGGCTTGCGTTATCACCAATATTTTTCCTACAAAAAGGTATTAAGCTTGAATTAAAAGAATTATTCAAATATTATTATATTTAAAAATAATAAAATGACAATTCCGTTTAACCTCGGCTTACAGAATCTTGTGACAAAATTGATGAGTGTCATTAAAGAAACATGATCATGATAATCCCCCCAAAAGATTATGTTCCTTCCTGCCAAAACTTTAGATGAACAAATTGTCGGTTTGCCGGCAATATAAGACTTGAAAGCCATAAATAATTTAAACGCTGACTAAAAGTCATAAAAATTTAGATGGTTATGAACTCATAAAAATTGGACAGATATTTTATCAAGAATAAACAATTTGAAGTCCCAGTTGAATTTTAGTAATTGTGATCGATTATGTTCGAGGGAAAGATGGACTCTAGAGGTAATAATCCAGGTAAGACAAGCCAAATACAATCGTTTACGAATATGGGTCATTAGGTGTAGCTCTCACCAAAATTTATTAAATTATTTATGTATTCAACCGGCAGCAAGCCTTCTTTACATAATAATATACAATATCGCAATAATGCTTCTTACAATACAAAATCACTTAGGTCCAGGTCTTCTGTAAAATTATAACAGCTACAAAAAATAAAAAATTGGCGAATAGAACAAATCGAAGATTCATATTTGAAGAGTGGAAATTCCAAACGTTCTAATTGCCAATTACCTCAAAACTGATTTTTTTAAATATGTTTTATGTGCCATCGCCAATAACCCTAATAATGTTTTAAGTGCCAGAAAAAGTGGTTTGTTGCGTTCGTCACAGATGGCACTGGTCTATGGCACTATGACATATCATTTCTCCAAAGGTTCCATGTACCATGGCGTATCAGCCAGTTGGAGAATCAGAAGTTGGATCTTACATTTTACTTCTAGGAATTTTTTTAGTCTTCTCAATGAACCCGTCGGTCATCGACCAAACAATTCTGAGATTTTCCAAAAGGAAACTAGAACCGGGAAAAGAAATATCAAACAACACACGTAAAGTACAAAATATAATATGGCCTCGTGAAATCAGATAAAACAA